GACCTCGGACTAAGCAGAACCCTGTGCCGTAATCCGACGAGCTCATCGTTCAAGCCTCGTTTCATGCTGGTAAATTTTACTGAATTCAAGACACTTGAAAACGAAAGCTTAAGAGGACTTGGTTAGTGTAAATGTGTTATAAGTCCACTGGAAAAATTGCTTCAACTTTTAATCAAAGTGGAAATTAATTTAAGATTTCACTTGACATTAAATAACTTGAGTAAGTAACTGAAAGATGTGTAAATATCACTTGATTTTTTGTTAATTTGAACACATAAAAATTTGTTTTATTTTTGGCGAATATGGCCTAAACATAAAATTAAATATATAAAAAATTAATGTCAACTACTGATTTTTGTGGGTGTTAAACACGGTCCATGGATTAAGGATGTTTGAGGACAAGAAGCTGGGGAGATTATTTAGTCCTAAGAACGCGAAAGGAAGAAACAGGAAGCCGGAGAAAACGGATTCAAGAGGATCTTCATAATTTGTCTTCTTCGCCAAACGAATGAGATGTACGGTGCATGTAGCATGCATGGGAGATATTAAGAATGAATACGAACTTTCGATCAGAAAAACTATTATTATCTAGGTGTAAACGTAACAATAATATTAAAATATACATTGAAAAATAAGGTGGGAGAAAGTCGAATAGACTCATCTGGCTCGCGATAGGGTCAGTGACGGGCTCTTGTAAACTTTAGGGTTCCAAGAAAGGCGGCGAATTTGCTTTTTAAGAAGGACTCTGCTCCATGGAGTGAAGTTAGTTACTGCTGAAAAGTAGTCCGGAAGATGTACAGTAGGACACAACACGTTACAAACAGGCTTTCGCGAGTGGCAAGGTAGCTGAATGGCATTTTAAGATTTTCGAGGTGAGCCAAGTCGATTCTTTCTGTATCGTTCGCTCCCACCATAACTAATGATTAGCCAATCTTTTCCGCTACGTTCTCAGATAACTTCATAGGCTTCTCGTGACTGTCGGTTCAATACACGAGAGTTGCAAATTACAAATCGCGGGCCGGATGTGGCCCATGAATGGACTTAGTCCGGTCCACAACAGTTCTGCAATAATTCAATTCAATTCAATTCAATTCTTTTTAATAAAGTGCTGCATCAACAGCCAGCCGACCAATTACAGATGCAGCACCACAAAACAAAATAAATACAATAATCATATAATAATAATAATAATAATAATAATAATAATAAAATGTAACACATATTAAAAACGAAATGTATTTTGGAAATAGCTGCTGCCCATGTACCTTAGGGGCAAAGTTTGTCTCGGGTACACAGGAGTAAATACCCTATAAAGTGGTGAATATTTAAGGGGATAATGGTAATATTAATAACAATAATAATAATAATACCGATTTTTAACTTTTACTTTCCCATGCATCGTAGGTCTACAGAAAGTGTCATTTATCGCAGCTATTCGAGATACTTTCCGATATTCATGTTTAGGGGTCCTAAAACGCGTATCAATTACTGTAAAGTTACAAATGAAAACGAGAATGCTGAGTGGGCCCCCTCCAGATTAGATTTCATTCGTGATAGCACCAACCAGCTTTCAGAATATCATGTCGATATTAATTATTAATAATCCAATTTCTATGTATTTTGATAATCTGTAAACTACAATAAACCAGCACGAATAAATATTTGTTCTTTAACAGTTTTTTTAACTACCAACTATAGGCTATTTTCTAAACCGGTCGAACGGTCATTTCGAAAAAGTCTCATCCGGCCACCGAGTAGAAATAATTGTCCACCCCCCGTACTAGAAGCTGCTTCCCCTTCCACATCTGTTTTCTAAACCCAAAGTTGCATTTTTACAAATAAAGACGAAACGTCTTCCGACACCAATATTTGCAAGGACGCTAGAAAAAAAACGTCGGGTTTTCCTTTTTTTACTTGTAGCCTACGCGATGAACTTGACACTTCATGAACACGAACTTTATTTGAAAGTGTTGAATTTACAGCCACTTGAACTCCAACAACTTTAACCGATCTGAACGGGGCTTGTTTGGAGAGACTGAGGAAACTCACTGCCATCGTGACGTCACTCTAAGAGAAAGGGATGCGCAAGCTATAAAAGGCGAAAGAAACCGCCGGGTCCGGGGCAGTCTGTATTGTTGAGTGGCTAGCTGGTGCCATACGTTCTTCAGCAGTTGGAAAGCAGTGGCCTACTTAAGACAACATCGCTTGTTCTCTCAGTTGTGCGTGAGAAGATCAACATGAAAAGTCTTGCGGTGGCGTTGCTGCTGTCGGCCGTCGGAATAATCTCAACGGCCAGCAATGTTACCGTCGGAGAACAGCAGGACGTTTTAGACGCTCCGGAACACAATGCAACCTTCAGCCCCCGCGGGATGAAGTCCGCGGACTGGAACAGTGACGAAATGACGGCGCCTCTGGCAAACCCCGCGGGTGGCATCAGATCACTAGAGAATCTGCTCGAGGTTTTCAACCCCCAGCGTTTGGCGCGCCAATGGGATTACCCCCGAGACAACCTGACGAAAGGGTGCGGAGCCCACGTGAATCATTACCTCACCCATCTCCACAAGGCAGAGCTTTGGGCGCTCAAAAGTGAGTAGCTACTTCGAGAAAAATATTGTTCTTTGAACAAAGCCACCCACCCACGTACGTGAGTTTAATTAAACTGATATACCGTACCGAAAGTTTCTGTGTGAATTTAATTACGACTGTACTGTGGAGTTATGGGAGGAATGCGGTGGAATGTCTTAAGATGACACACAATTGACTTCAAATTTTCCTGTCACTCACGCAGGAAGGAGAGGAAAATCGAAGTCTGGAGGTTTCTGAAGATATTGCGCTTAACACGTAAAATTTTTCTTTTCTACAACGTTCGTCGTTTGAATTACTAAAATAGTAAAACTTCAAAGTTTCGGAAGCTGGATTCTACTTCCGTCTTCAGGCTAAAAAGGAAAAAGAGGGCAGGAAGACAATCTGTTCGACCCCCTGGTCGAGCTAGCATCAGAACTCGACCAGGTCTTCCTTTTTTATTTGAAGACGGAAGTAGTACGCATCTTCGGAACCGATGAAGTTTTATTATTTTATAATTCGGACAATGAACAATTTTACAATTATTGCTAGAGAAAGGTGCT